AGCTGCCTTTTTCTAACTACAGCTGAGCTTGTAGCAGAGGGACCTCAGTCATACAGTCTTGAGCAACAATACTTGCAGAAATGTTAAACAAGTCTTACTGAAGCAGGAAAGCACTGTTTGCCTATTTCATTCAACAATTTGCATCTATATTCAGATATAAGATTATATATACCAGGTTGCATACTTATCTCAAGAATGCCTGTTGCTTTGATTTCCCTAGGGAAATCTAATAATGAAAAAGTTTATCTTCTTTCACATTGTAGCTGGGGCAAATAAGAATCAGTGCAAATATCCATTTTTTGTTCACTGACATCTTAGAATGACAGCTATAAAATTCACCCCATCTATGCATTTTTGCAGAATGCATAGAGTGGTTGATGTTTCCTTTCAATTTTTTTTTCTTTACACTCTTAGATTTTAATATTATTCTATTCCTCTGAATGCAAAGAAATAGGAATAGGTCTGTTTCTTAAGAGATTAAGGAAGCACTGACTTTACATTTTCCTGACTATACATTGCCACCGAGTAAAGAATATCTGCAGTGGACACCAAGTAATTCCTTTCAAGTCAGTAAATCTTGAGCTTTAGACTATCTAAACTCTCAGTTCAGAGACTTAATGTGGATCCTCCTGACTACTGCGCAGCTCTGTGCTAAAATCTCATTTACAAACTGAACTTTACTTCTGCTTTCTATCTCCTTTTCCCACCTGTCCTCTACTTCTCAAACCACTTGGTCTGTCCTCCCTTCTTTCAAAAGTCATTGGTAAATGCTAGAGGTAAGTAATTACTAACATTCACACCTAACACCACAGCAGCCTAATACCAAAGAGTTTACAGGTGTGCTCTGACAAACCAATACAAACGTCATATGTGCAGAACACAAAGATACATGATCAGTCTCATCTGCTCTGCATCCTGGTGTATGAAATGTAAATAGGCTCAAATGTCTCTCTGATACTGCTCACTTTTCATTCACTCAAACTCCGTGGGAAATCTCATCCCTTGTCACATCATCAAACAGCAGCACTATTCCTAAGGCAAGGCCTTCCACAAACATCCTGTGCCTACCATCACATAAAATCCTGCTCCTCCAATGCAGATGGGCTGAGCTAGTCCTGCTGCCCCCCAGTTCATTTTAGGATCCCCACAGTGCTCCATGCCTCCTGCAGTACCTCAAATATCTTCCTTCCTCCAAGCTGCCCACCCCAATACACCCCAAGCACATGCCCTCAGCTAGTAATTGCCACAGGCTTTCCTCTTTCTGCTGCTTTTAGGAAGCAGAGCAAGAAGTGCTCCTGCTGTATGGGAAATTTGTCTTTCCAGTCCTTGCAGATCAGACTCCCAATAACGCCACATGAGGATGAGGTACACTATGGGAGATATGAGCAAGCTGAGGTCCAAATTGCTCTTGGTTTTAAGCCAGGCCTGACCATGCAGCTTGTGGGCTTAAAATGCCACAAGTGTCTTCAAGGAGATCTTGAGGATGTGATTTCAGAGTGGCTTGCAACAGGAATACAACACAGGCACAGCATTCATGTCATCTTTACTACTGTCTGGGGTCATATTTAACATCCCAAGCTTTCTGCCATGCTGTGTGGAGCCAAGGAAAATGGGAGGTCAGTGGAAACTGCTACTACTCACTCAGAGACACACAGCAATGTTTTGCTCAATGGAGTGATGTCTGATCTCACATATGCAGGATATAACATAAGTATCTGCCAACGAACCATGGTAACATGCCCAGCTATTCCCCTAGCTTGGTTTATTCCACTTGCTCGTTTTTTTGGCCACTCTTAAGCCTCATTTCATCAGACTGTTGCATAGAGACTGCTGAAACACACAATGAATGCAACATTCTAGCTTCTACTTCTTGCTTTCCTTTTCTTTGAATTTCCATTAAATAACTTTCCCATGCTTTTAAGCCCACCACAAATCAGTTACAACTGCCTGCAGACCTTGTTAACTCCTGCTTATCCCAGTTCCCTAAGTTTATTTAGCTTTCCGAGTAAACCTGGTCTAGTGAAAGGTGTCAAGGGAGTTGGAATTAGATGATGTTTAAGGTCCTTTCCAATCCAAACCATTCTGGGATTCTAGTGCTGCAGCTCGACAAATATCAGGAGGTGAAGGCAAATTACCCAAATGCATTGTCTAGGGACTAGTGCAACACAACCAAACAGCCTCCATCTTCCCCTCTTAAACACCTGTGCAAACAGACTTCAGTTCCTCCATTTCTACCTTCAAAGCTCCTATTTCCAAATGGAATAAAACATTACAACAAGTTAGCTAAAGCAAATGCTTCACAGGGAGATATGGCAGCAGCATCACAGACAAGCTAGACAAATTTAGGAGTGGCTGTCACATTTGTGGCAATGCCTTCTAGAGATATAAATTCAGTTCCAAAAGCAACCTTAGCTACTACCAGGACCAAGGCCAGATGTTAAGTGGCAGCCAGGGAGATGTTGAAAGGAGTGTAAGGACTTGATCCAGGAGAATTGTTAAACATTGTGTGTGTCACAGACACACAAGGCTGGGAACACTTAGGAGCCTTCCCTTTACAATTTACATGGTAAATCCTATTGCCAGCCAGCTGCAACAAAACAATCCTCTTAAAAAAGCAGACAGGGCATTTTCAGGGCTGTTAAAAAAACCCAGAGATATTCTGGGAAGACATAATTTTCATTGTGGCAGAACACTGTGTTGGGAACACCTGTGGAATAAGAAAAAGATGAAGGAACATAGCAACCACACACCCTAAGAGCAGCCCTGGTTTGATATTCAGCAATTTCTTGAATGAAAGAATTTGTTTTGCTATCTGTGTTACCTAGAAAAATGGGAGCTGGCCAAAACCAAATGCCCTGGCTCTAAACTTAAAAACACTTTCAAACACAGATCAAATAGAACCAGCAATGTGGGGAAAGGAAGACTAAGGACAAACCTGCATGATAAAGCTTTGTTCCCAGAAACAGGAGGTGCTACCACTATCTATTTCTCTTCCAAAGACATTGGCACAACAAAAACAACTCAGAAGAACCCAAAAAATCTCCCTGGTATTGACTGACAGTGAGAAAGTACCAATGCAATGCAATGTGGAAAGTTACTCTAGACCAAATAAAAACTGAATTCAATGTGGACTAATGAAACTCTATTTCAACCCTCTACAGTTGGGCTTATTCAGAATTAAAGTAGCTATAATAAGGTCTAATATAACTCAATTTTGGAGAAAATTGAGTAAAATAGAGGCCACACTGAATAGTTACTGTACAGAAAGGTAAGGACAGGCAGACAGAGTGAAATGTGGGTACCAAATCAGATCAAGCTTCCCCATTCTCCTGTGCAGAGTTCCTAAATGAATTTGCATTCCTTTGCATTACTTAACTTGATCCATCAAGCACAATCCTTATGTCAGGCACTGAGGGACACTGGATTCTGAGTGCTGTGCATGTCAGCAGGAGCAGTACCTGCAGCATTTCCATCTGCCATGGATGCCCAGCTGGGGGGGCTGAGTGCATTCACCCCACCTAGGCAATGATGGCTGACCAAGGGAGTCTCTGCCCTTACCAAAAGGAAAGATGAAGGAAAAAGAACCACAAGCCATAAAATCCTTAAACTCCTCCGGTACTGAGGACTGCCTGCCAGATCCTGACCTGATCCTGACACACAAGCAGGCACTGCTCACTGCTGTCACTCCTGGGCTAGGCATTCAGGAAAGCACAAAGAAGGTGATTAATTTTGCACATATAAGCTATACCATTAGACTTTGCACCCTGTGGGCTCCTGCTGCATTGGCATTGAAGCTGTAATCTATTACATCTGTCTGGGCACACACTTCCTCCACAAAGTGTGTATTTATAGGACTGTTAAAAATGTCAAGGACTTTCAGCTTCAGATTCTGACTTCAGCCTTCCCTGTTTAGATTTTCACTCACATAACTGCCTTAATTTCCATTTATATTGTTCCTATTAGTTTCAAGCCACATACATAGCCTTTACTAGCCTAGACTGACTAGCTCTGACTGCCTAAAAATCAGCAGAAACAACTGATTAAGGCAAGGGCCTGGAAAAAGTCCTCTATTGAGGCTTGGAATCTCAGTCACTTCAGAGATTTGAGTGCTTGTGTGCCTTAACTCATTCTGTAGTTCCCAGGGGAAAAAAAAATATGTGAAGCACAGTAAGGAGCAGCCTTTTACAGAGGCATCACCAGATGACCAGCTGAACCACAGCTCCTCTTCACTCTGAGGTTTGCCAAACCCCATGGTGAAGTCCTAAACTTGAGCAGCAAGATCACCTCACAGGATGCAAAATACACACTAACACCAGCTAACACCAGCTACAGAAGGTATTCACTGCCCTTAAATTTCACCTTGAAGTGGCATCAAACTGCATTTTGATAAAATACATCAGGGATGTGGCTCAAGCTTCTGTGAAATCATGGACAGCTGGCACCTTATTAATCTTTGATTTCACAGCATTCTCCTTGTGCTGGCACCTTTGCTTCCTGACATCTCAGCTTTTGGAGAGTTAATGGTTGGAAAAACCAGCATTGTCAAACCTGACGGTTTTAATTTTCAATTTTTTAAACCAGGTTCAACCACTTCAGAATCAACCTGTTTCCTGCCTGCATTAATGTCTCTGTCCTGGACTTCAGATAATCAGTGCAACTAGGACAAACATTTGGAGTGGATTGCTATCAGACCTAAGTGAAAAAGAATTTAAAGATACACTACAAAACATGTCTTCACAAAACTCTTCCTCTTCTCTGAAGAGTCCAAGGAAACCTCCACCACCACTAACAATTCCCTCCCTGCAGGTCTCATCCTCCATGGACAGCATGGTCAGCAATGACCTGCAGTTTCCTCATGATTATCAAAGCCCGTTTCACACACGACTCAGTCTCATCTGTGTTGAGTGGGCAGCTTCTGTTGAGATGCAGGTCACTGCAGCATGCATTGCAATAGCAGCAGCATCACAAGACAGCAAACACTGCAGCAGCTCAATACTCACACTCAGCAGGAGGCACTTGTTTTCTTTGATGGCACCTATGCAGCCCACGAAGCCAATGATCATGACAAACGTCCCTGTGACGATCAGCAGGTTGGCAGCTGACAGGGATGGGAAAGAAGAGGAGAGGGTGGCAAAGTTCCCTTGGGTGACAGCCAGCCAGATGCCTACACCAAGGATTCCACAGCCTCCCAACTGGGAAAACAAAGAGAAACAAAGACACTCAGTTATTGTATCCAAGCAACCCCAGATGTGAAACCATGTCAATATGGCAGGTGGAGCAAACCAGCTGTCACACCTAGTAAGAAATTATTTCTCCTTAGGACATTTTTAGTAGGAGAAAGAAAAAAACAAAAATAGAGAAGTCATCAGTAAGATGCAACACTCAAAAATTGTCACAGATTTCCTAAATCCAAGACACAATCTCCAAATCAGGTCTTTTGCTCTCTAGTTAAAAAGTAGACGCTGAGTAAAGGATAAATTCCCAAAGGGTCAGCTCTTGAAGGGATTGAAAAAATCCCTGTCCTGTTTAAGAGCCTTAGAGAACTGCCCAGAATGGCTGAAGCATTTTTGATTCCCCATTCTTCCCATCCCAGTACCCTGTCTCTCACCCTGACACATGCCATAAGCAAACCTTGCCAGAGCAGCCCCCTGGCAGGACACCTCATCCTCCCTAGTTCCTAAGGTCAAGCCTCTCCTGGAAGCAAGAGAGCATTTAGAGTGTAAGGCAAAGAGGATTTTGCATCATTATCGAGTCACACAGCACAGCATCACTTAGGCTTCTTTCTTTCCTGCTCTCCCTTTAAAATAACCAATTTTTATTGAGTTTATAATTGCACTTTATTATCCAAATCAATTAAAGGCTTGGAATGAAATTGTGCTCATAGAGTAGTAAGCCAGACATATGCAGGAGCATATCCACTAAATACCTGCATAAAGTGGATGAACATAAGGCAGCTCATGAACCAGGGAAGGAAAAAGATAGAGCTAATCCTGGGGCAGAGCTAAACCTCAGAAATGAAACACAGAGGAGAAACACAAAAGCCAAAGCAATTTCTTATACTAATTACTAAGGTTGTCTCTTAATGCCACTGAATTCCTCCCCAAATAACAGGCAATAAAGGCAGCTGTGTTTTAAGGTAGCATTCCTCAGCCCAGCTGCAAACCAGTCTGTTTTGTTCAGAGCTAAGGAATCAAACTACACCTCACATCAGTGTACCTCAGCTGGACCAACCTGTGTGTCTCCACTGAGAGAAAGCAAACCCCAAGGCACAGGGACTCAAAGCCCCTCCTTTAGGAGTCTTTGCATATTCCAGGCATCCCCACATCACTGTATTCAACCTTGCACAAGTATCCTCTTATAAGTGCCCTGGAGGGACAGTCCATGCCCTGACATGGCACACTGGAAATACCTCTCCTCTATTCCCACTTGGAAAGCATGATCATTAACACTGTCCAAAATTATTAAAGAAAAAACCAAGGGAGTGGATAGGAAAGAATACCCACATAAGGTAACCCACAGAAAACAATTTAGGCTAAGGGAGGGGATATAAAGAAATGCTATCATCATGGCCCAAGGGGAAAAAAAAAGGAGAATCATAATATAGGAACAAATTCCCTGAAGAGGAAATAAAACTCTGAAGGTCTACTGAACAGAACAACATTGCAGGAGATGTATAAATACCTAAGCTAAAACCAAACTGGTCAGAGTGCTGAAATACAGTCAGGAATAGCACTAAACTGGCTGAGGAATCGGATGAAAAGCAGAAGTGCACTTCTGCCTCTTCAGCTTGGTGGATGTTAGCCTCAAGATCAGCCTCAGAGCTGCAGGCACGGGGAGGCTGCTCAAACAGCCCAATTAAGCCTAATGAAGGCAGATGCCCAAGAGCAGCAGAGCCATGACCTTGCAATACATTTAGCTCTTATCTTCAGTTCTTTGTTCTGAAGCAACTCAACAGCACCAAGAAGACGCACTTTCTTTCTTCACCTTTCATGATCCCCCTGCTGCTACACTGCTTTGAGTGGTACCAACACCCACAACCATCACTTGTATTGCAGGAGGTGGGTACCACTGAGGATGCTGCAAAGGCAAGACCTGCTTGCCTGCTCCTCCATCATCCACTAAATTCTTATTGATGCACAATGCTCAATGCTTGAGACATTGCTGCCTGGATGTTTGAGTTCAGCATTTTCTGACTCCAAACTCATTCTTGTTTGCAAAAACTGGAAATTCAACAGTGGCATGAAACATCAGAAAACCAGGACACAGTTCATGCAAAATGCCATGACTGGGGCTGCAGCCATTTAGATCAGGGATGAATATTTCAGATCACCTGTTCAGCAGGAGTATCTCACAACACTGCCCTTGATTCAGAGATGCTCTGCTCTCCAGCAGCTCATTACATTGCTATTTCTGAAGAGCTAATGCACAGCTCTTCCTTAGGTTGACTGACCAAACTTGAAATGCACAAAGGAATCCTTTGAACATTAAACCACCCAGCTCAAACTGGATTTCATAATGTCAGCCCACATTACTGAAGACAGCTACACTTTTGTTCAGCTCTGTTCCTTTTCCCACAGAATATCTACTGAGAGTCCCCAAATAAATTTACTAAGCTGTCACACCAGGCACACCCAGGAAACAGAGGCCGTCCTTAGCTCTAGACTTAACTGCTCTTTAAAGCTCCCCCTTTCCCCAAGGTGCAAAGCACACCTGCAAGTCCCCATCCAGTGGCCTTTTAACACTCAAGCATCTGGTTAGGGAAATGTTTAAAGAACCAGCACCCACCAAGACAGCCACAGGAGCCTTTCCAACAATAGCCAAATATTTTCTATTCCAGAACATTCAAAGAGCTGCTCCTCAACCCCTCTGCCCTCCATTCTGAACTGAACTGTAATTACCAGTCTAAGACTCTGGCATTAGAGGCATCACATTTACTTATTCTGGATCAGAGCCAAGAGAAAACAGTAGTAGTTGGCTCTATGCTGCATGTCTGTTTTTACTTCCTCCTCTTGTTATCTAAGGCATGGATAATTTTAAATGGTTATTTATGATGTTCCCCCTCCTCCACTTTTTCTCTCCTTACCCCACCCCCAACCCCCAGCCCTTTTTTTTGTGTCAAAGAGTGTCAGAAACATAGTGAGGAAATGAAAAGTTTTGACAGTTTTCTGGGCTTGCTGATATGTAAAATTAAACAAAACCAAACCCATTGACAGGGGTAGTTTTGACAATGTGGGGGCTTCTGCACAAACAGTGATACTGTCATGGTTAAAAGAGAAACCATTAAGACAAAAACATCAGAGAGAAGTCTACAGCTTGAACCTGATCTACTGGCAGCCAAATGAGAGTCTGTATTAACTCCATTTGGTGAGTGCAGAATTGACTTTAAATTAAAAAAAAGGTTGCCTTCAAAGATGCCAGGCTACTGACAATAGCATTTTTTAAAATTCCCTTGTGAAATGTTTAACACATTATTTGCCTAATTTTTCATGATAATCTGCTCTCTCTTGTAAGCAAGGCAGCTCATGGCAAAACCTGAAACAAAATGCAGTTCTAATATTTTTTCCCAATTGATGCTGCCTTTTCTTTTTTTTTTTTTAAAGTCTTTTATTCTAAGGTCAAAACAGCGAGACACCAGAAGGAATACCGTCCCAGCCCTAAAGACATAGGATATTTGAGTCAGGTGTTTGCTCCAAGAAAGACCCCAGTGTAAATCTTGAAAGGGCTGTTTGGTGCATTTGTGCCTGAGCTGCAGAACTGTGAGGAAAGGACAGAAGCAGTGAGTTCTTTGCAAGCCCTGGCCTTTGCAATTGCCTGTGGAAGTAGCAGAATATTCTGCTCAAGACAAATTCCTCACAAATTTATAGAGCAGAGTCAAGCAGTACAGCAGGTGTCTTACTCTAAAAGCAGAGATTATCTGTCTCTTCTTCCCCAAGAGATACACAGAGCCATGCACTTGCTCTCTTGGCAAAAAAACTGCCTATGGAATCAGATCCTCCAAACTGTTCTAATGGGCTGGAAAATAAATTATTCAGGCTTCAGTGCCTACGTTTAAAATTGATCTTACAGTATGATAATCAAAGTAATCCCAAACAGCCCTGGATATATGCTTGTTGGTGAAGAAAATTATTCTGAAGTTACAGCTACACACTTAAAATACTGCAGGAGAAATTGACTCATTGTTCATGATAATGGTGCTGGTGTCTTTAAGTGAGGTTTTTTATTGGTTTTATTACATGGAAAATGCATCTAATTGAGGTTTCTCATATTGTATCTGATTAGGATCTACTCATCACACTTCCTCTTTCAGCCAAAAAAAAACCAACAAAAAAAACCCAAAAAAACCCCTTGTGTGCTAAGAAATCCACTGTTAACAGAATCCAAGTGGAAGATATGACCAGTTCCCTTGGAGGATTTTTCTCCCCCAGTCTTTACATATTTAAACTAGAAGGGCTCTCTCAATCCTCTCAATCCCACTTGCATGAATATGCCTCCTCCGCCAAGTATGGAGTGAAAGTATACAATGAAAAAAACCAGCATCTAAGTAGCAACAGTAGTGATGTGAACATTATCCTGCAAATGTTCTTGTAATATCAGGCACACTTAAATTACTGCTGCTTTCAGCTAGACACAGAGAGGGGGTGGAAATGGAATACATATGAATATTGACAGGATCAAATGAATCAAGATTCTCATATGGAAAAGCAGGAGCATGGGTGTAAATGCAGAGGCTGCAGCGTTCCACATAAAACCCTGTGAATGACCTGTCCCTGCAGCTGTTGCCCATCCAGGAGGGAGTGGCCACTTCTGGAATACTGTTAACATCTTATTGCAAAAGTTCCATACCTTCTTGGTGGTGTCATGGACAGCTTCTCACAGCACAGCCAAAAAACTCCAGCTCTCTTCCCAACCAGCTAACCCACTCTTTTATGGCACTCATCCTCACTGGACACAGATGTGGCCTGTTAAGGGCAGGCCTGTTCCTAATCTTTGGTAATTAGCACAGCTGCAGCTCCTCAGGGGTGAGATTACCTTCTGCACTACATGAGATGTAAACTAGGAGTGTCACCTCAGTGTGGCACAAGCTGCATTTCCTTCACTAGCCCGAGGTCTGAAATTTAACATATAGGGGATGGTAGAAGCACATTTCTACCCTTAGAGTACTGAGGCTCTGTAGTGTAGAGCTCTGCAGTGT